TTAAATTAAACTACATGGAGCAGCTCTTTCGGCAGTGTTGCGTCTTCATTTTCATCCGGCTTCCACCCTCAGTGCATCAAAGCTTTTCGAGCAACCATTCTCTTCGTAGAAGGGCGATGCGGGATCCAAGAGCGCTGAGCGATTTCAGCCTACGAACCAAGTTCTGCGCTACCGTCGTTGTTTCGTCGAAACATCGCAATTGCCTGTGATGATTGAAAAAGATCCTAAGAAGAAACATAAAAACAACTAAATAGTAATGTAGAACGTATTTAAGGGCTTACAGCTTTGGGAAACAGGACGAATCTGTTGTCAACGTGTTTGTTGGGACTGTTTGGGGATCTGCTTCACCCTTGTGGAAAACCTGCAAGAGGATTAGTCCCGTAAAAGGGATTAGTCTAGTAGTCCCCGTGTGGAGAAATTGTAGGTATGCTTGCTTGCCATGCCTGTCTTATCTTCGAGGTGGATTGGCCATGCTTCTTCGCGAGCATCACAACATTTTCGTACAACCTCCTCCTCCTAGCCAGTGATGCTATATGAAGGATGCCCTTAGTCGGAAAGAAGGCCCCGGTCACTGACTATGGGGAGAGGTAGTAAGGTTTTTCTGGATGCCCTTAGAGGCACAGCAGCAGGCTTAATTGTAATCCCGTCCTGGACTCAGTTTCCTGATTTGCATGGCCCACCTACCTCCAGCCTCTACCATGGCTACCTCTACCTCAACGAATCCCAATCATTCGAAATCTTCCGAAACTCGGTCAAACACCAACGAAATGCAAGACTCCCAACTCGGCAACAAACAAAAACCCCACTCGGCTTCCGCCACACCCGTAATAAATCATTTCGGGCAATACCGAATGAAGAATATGACATAAGGATGCGAAAAATACTCAGAATCGGTCCCGCCAACTGAATCGCCTAATGGGGCTTTCCTCTCATTGTCCGGATAATGTCGATTCACATTTGGAATTAGGTTTACGTCCGAATAATTAATTTTCCTTCTCATTCCGGGTTTAATAAATCGCGTTCAGTATTAAAAAACCACTCCTATCCATTCGAAGTACTGCAATATAACTAGAGTGCTATTGTCATTTCGCGATCCGCCCTCATCAATCAGTGAGTTATTGGTGCATCCCAATGAAAGAAAAGTTAAAAGGTACTATTCACTCAACGCGATTTATTCAGTACTTCTCTTTCATTGTTTCCGAGAAAGACCACGACCCATTCTCACTCCTCTCCCTTCTCAAAGGGAGAGTGTGTATGAGAATGGGAGAATGAGTAAGTCCTGTTTCTTTTAAGGAACCTTTTCTTTTAAGTACGGACCACCGGCAGCCAGGAAATGGAGATCATGTAAGTGAAGCAGGGCTTACCTAATTTCAGTGCAGTTCATTTCCCGACAGAAAGAAGAAGCTGCGATGCTCTTCATTTCCCCAGTATCCGATCGAAAATACATATTAAATTAGTTTTCTTCCTGGGAAAGAAAACTAAACGTTTTCCGAAGCATCACGATGTCGTAATTCATGAGATATCGGAGGTTGATGGGAGTTATTTACAATTCGAGTAGTGAGCTAAAGGTGTCGGATGGCTGCTCGAGGGTGTCAAAATGGAAAGGTTCGAATATTGAGGAAGGGTTTTCCGAGAATATTCGAGGCAGACATTTCCGACTCGAATGAGAAAAAGGATCTCCTGAAGCGTCGGATTTCGAATTTAGACAAAATATTTTGTGAAGAAGGGAACATTTCTGCTGAGAAGGGTAAGTGGGACCCAGGCAATATTTCCAAAAATGAGGGGAAATCTAGGTTAACATGTTTTTAGTCGGAAATTTTATGACAAAAATCAGAAATTTCCATAATTTTTTATGGTTTTGGGCATTTGGGAAAGCGCCACTACCATACCACTTTCATTTTGGAGGAGATGAATATGATTTTTAGCGAAAGGATTCCTGGGCATCAAGAGGGTTAACATTTCATACTATTACTCTTCAGGACGAATGCCCATTATGGCTCAAAGTATCCATTTCGTCCTGATATTCGAGTAAGTAGTGTTACATGACCCCGTTTCAAAATATCCTCTCCTCTCTTGAGAAAATGGAAGATTTTGCAGTTTTCGTTTTCATCCATTATTGCGACGGAACAGCTTCCATTTTTATATGACTGTAAAATGAAACTAAAAATGCATCAGGTTGGGCATGCCCCATTCGGTAGTGAATCCCCGTTTAGTTCTTTGTAATGACTGCTAGGAATAGGAGGATATATGGGTGGGATACAACGTGTAGCAATGCTGAATATGGTATTGCATGAGTTCAGCAACCGATATCCATTCCCCTCCCTTCCTTTGTCAACAATGGATTTGTCATCTGCAATGGCTGAAAATGATTAATACCTCAGAGCTTGTAACATCACAGTCATTTATGTTCGATGCGCATGCGCCCAAATGTCGTCATCCAGGAAGGCTGACGGATACTCGGGCCTTGCTGACAGAAAATTTGAAATTGGAAATTTGGCATACAAATTTTTTTTGTACAAGATCGTCCAAAAATGAAATTAGCCTTTTTCTTGCCCAAATTTTCCTTAATGCTGGTTTCCACTGAGGTCAGGCGATTATATTCTAAGCCATCGTCGGCCAACCAAATTGTGAGACAAACAAACAGAAATGCAAACAGCACAGGACTCTTTCCTTTCAGGAAAGAATACACAGTCAATAATAAAGGTGAGTGTAGGGTTTGCGATGGTTGAAAAATGGGTGCGCATGCAATTGGAGGCGCATTCTCACCTTTACGCGTTCATTAGCACTCTATAGCACTCTTAACGGTGGTCAGGCTCTCCAGGTGGGTGCATGACGTCGGGATATGCTTCAGTCCTTTCAACTGAAAGACACCACCCAGCTTTGCCTATCCTTGCCTATCCTTACCTTATCCTCACCAAAGGGGATTCTCGAGCTGAACTACAAAGTGGGGTCGGATTCACAAGCCCCCAGGCATAACACCCTTGGTCCAATCTTGCGAAGGAGGGGATCAACCGAAGATGACATCTTATTGTATACTTATCCCGTGTTTTATCATATCCAGAGGCTTGGTTTAACAGAGGCCCATGCATTGTTCGCCCTGTCTTACTTGAGAAAAACCTTTTTTTCCCTCCTCCCCTTACCCCAAGGCAAGGCAAGAGAAAAAAAGTTTTTCTTAGCAGGGTAATCCGATAAGTAATCCGATGAGGATGTTATTCTACTCTCTTTTCGCTTTCATTAGGCGATGCAGCTTCACTAACGCACGACGAACGTCTATCCAGTCTCTATGTGAGGAGATAAAATCAGACGGGCAAGGACACGTACTGATAAAACAGGGGAACACAACAAGAAAAGGAATGCACCGACAGAGGGACTCAAAATATAGATGTCTCTACACTCTGAGGAATATTAGGTATACGAATGGAACATTCACCTGGCACAATACACAACTTAGTAGCTTCGCATCGATTAAATCAGATAGTCGATCAATAGGGGAGACCTAGTTCTGAATGTATTTATATTAGAAATATTGCGTCACTCATGAAAGGTGGAAATTAACCTCCGAAGGGTATGATGAATTTGGCAAGGAAAAAATTGATGCTATCTTGAAAAGAGGGTGAGGCATTTCCACACGAGGGTGGCCATGCAACCATCAACGGTGCTGGACACCACGGTGAGCATTCTCACCCTACTTTCATCGTGATCATGCTCACAACTAGGGTGGCTGTCCCATGACAAAGCATGCACAACCTTGAGGGTGCAGTATCTCACCTTTATTATTTGCAGTGTACCCAGTGAAAAGGATGTCTCACCGAAGAGAGTTTAGCGTTTCTTCGGCGTTGTTGGCAGATGGGGAAACACTGATGATCAATAGCGTCTTGGATTCCCCTCCCAAACTGTCTTGCATACATGCGGTCAATAAATTGTCCCTGGAAATACGTTGTAACAGATAAATTGGAGTGTACTTAAATACTCGTAGCAATAAATGTTCACGTATTGCATTGAAATTGGATCATGATGTGATAAACATAGCATGGCATTATCCAATACCTGTAGGGAATGTGTTGCTTTCCTGTGGCTAGGGCAGAAATTACGTTATCCAGCGCAGATAAAGAACTGTTGATGCTCTTCGCTTCTCTTAGTTGCATGCCTATGGCTCCAGATTTCGCAGTTCGTTCACTTCCGGCTAGGTCCAGGAGGCTCAACTGAGAGTATTAAACGGGGAATAATGAACATTTTCTTGTAAGTAATGGCTACAGGAATACAAAAATATGCTGACATTGAAAGAATCGCCATCACCGGTTTTATTCGAATGGGATTCAAATTCGAAAACTGGGATATCATTTGAAATCAGTTCCAATTTGGCGGAAAGTAAGTCCAAGGGCAGTCTTTCATTAAACCTATGGAGTAATGTGAAAACCAATTTTCAAAAGTTTTCCCTTTCTTTAACCCCAAACCCAACCGCAACCTCCCCCCCTTCTCTAGGAAGTCACTTACCTGTACGTTAGGCTTAGGCCTAACCGGCGGACAGTCTTTGGGTCAGGCCTAGGCCTACTTTTTTCGTTCAAAAGGAACTCAATCCTCAACTTACTTGGCCAATTCCAAACTCGTCGAGGACGTGTAACTTTAGGCCAATCTCAGATCCATTCAGTCCCTCATTGCCCATTTAAAAGTGAAAGTGTAACGTTGACCGATTGTAGGTCTTTTTCGAGTTTCATGAATCACTTCAATGCGGTTGGGGAAAATTATGCCGATTCAGGTTCCTCAAACCGTCTCGACTCGTTACGAGAAGAAAATGAATTTTGGCCGCATGACATAGAAGTTGGTCGCCATCATTTTAATTTAGTGATGTGCCGATGAGATATACGAGTATCTGTATTCCCGAAAATCCATCGGCCCACTGCAAACCAGTTTCAATCTAAGCTCATCCCATGAGTTCAGCACAATAATATTTCCTACAGTAATAAGAGAATATCCATACAACGATACCTAGGCCAAAGATGTCATGACTGACGAAACTCCGACATGATATCCGGCAAGACCGGATCCGAGTTATCGCTCTGAGCCTAAATGATCGAAAGCAAATCAAATTTATTTTGAATGGGGAAATGGTGCATCGCAAGCAGCAAAAAGGATACTTTTCGTAATCTACAAGTCTTTATCTTTCTCATGGTAGAAAGCATCCTAAAAGTGGCTACTCAGGGGGGGGGGGGGCAGAAAAAAAGGGATGAAATTCACATCTTCCGAAAACGAGTCAGTGGTCTCCACAACCCCAAGGAGATGGGGCTTCAAATTTGCTAGAGCGATTCTATGTTGTGAGAGGAAAAGGTATGCTGAATTTTGTTCATATTGTCCTTTCAGAGAGGAATATGAAAAGGTTAAATCTTGCTGCGGGAAGATGTTGAAGAAAGGTACTCGTAATAGGCTCTACCACGTCTATTGATTCTTAGCTCTTCATTGACCTTGATTCTGGAACATCCCAAAAGTGACAGACCTTCGCGCTGCTGATCTTCCCGCTTTCTCGACATCTGCTTTCCACCTGGACCCCGATGATGAGATGGGAGCGGGAGCTTTCATCGTTCATTAGCGTTGAGGCGGTTCGGCGGCTCCTCACGCCCATGGCGAAAATTTCGCACAGCACCTCCGCGGAATTTGCTGGTAGAACCGTGGCTCCGCGTACGTGCGCTATGCCTGTCGCACCCCATGTGACCTTTGGGTTCTGTGGAGAATCATGGATTAATCTTTCACAGAGTTTCCTTATTGGATTTGGAAGCAGATAATAAATTCACGTGGGTTCTTCTACTGCCTCTTATAATCCTTCCAAGGAATTCTTCTATGATTTCATATAAGTCTGCATCAAACTTTTTAAATATTCTGTGCCACAATTATGGCTTTTTTGCTAGCCCACACTCTTCTTAGGAGTCTTTGAACCATCCATGTACATGAAAGGCTAATTTTCCTGTCATTCGAAGAAACTCTTCCTGGACGAATTATGAGGTGTTTTAGTGGTTTGAATGCTGCGATCAAAAATCTGCCTGACGATGGTGTCGCAGGTTCGATCCAGGACACGGCCAACCTCTGATTTCAACCCCTTTTGCCCTAACCACTTAAGGATTCGAGAGTACATCTCTCGGCACCCTCATTTTATAAGAAAATCTTAGGACCTGCAGCCGATACCTATTGGGTCAAAAGTCTTGACGTTATTAGGCGCAAGTGCCTAACTTCGACGATAACAATAGCATTTTACTAGTTACTGTATGCTTTCCCGGGCGAAATGTTCGCAATCAACGAGAGTACGAGGAATTATCGACTACGGACGTTGTTACTGTGGTAAACGGTTGCAATGATCTTCATTATTTTGTCACTCACCAGTACCGTCGCCAGCTTACGACAGTGTTTCTCGTAAGTCTGCGGCATTCGGTTAGTGCTCTATATTATTATTTTCAAAATGTGTGTTATTCTCAAAATACCACGTAAAGGGGAGAAGTTTGAACTATCTTGGGTCTGGGTTTGAGCTACTTAACGCGCAAGAAAGTGAGACGTTGTGCAGTCACAACCAGCGGATGAAAGAGCAGAACGGCTTGCACAAAATGCTTTCATCGACTTATTTTATTCTATGTTCTCACGGGCTTTCACACTAGTGAAATAATATTGGTAGAACATTTTGTATGAACTGCCTCCTGCAAATTATTGAACAGCGATTGCACATGCACACATTGCGTATGCCAGGTGTTCGACGATATTCAGAAAGAAAGATATACAAATATTCGTACAAAATAACTAATTTGACAGAGGAACAACGGAATCTTTTTCCTTCAATGCAAACTTTTTATGGAAATCTTGTCAAATCATCTCAAATTTGGCAATACAAATGATGAAATCTGCAATAATCTCATCGAGAGCAGTGGTTCTCCACCGGTTGGTCACGATGGTCTTCTCAGTGTGTCGCGAGAGAATGAAGTGAATTAAAAGATAAGAATGATGTTGAGAAGAAAGAGATTAATCATATGTCCCCAACCGAACTACAGAGCTATATTACTAGAACTTGTCTTTTTAGAAACGACTTAATCTATTAATCCAGACAAGAAGGCAGCACAGGGAGAAACCTTGCAAGCAAACAATTCCAAGAATCAAGGACCCAGCAAAGACTCTAGAATCCAGAGTCCTTGTTGATACGATCTGACCAGATCCTTCCTCCAAGATGTCTCCTTGAAAGGCTGCCCATACCTGCCGGTGTGTTCGTAGAAACTCAACCCCCAAGTTGCTATTTCGTAACAATTTTATAGCTGCCGCCAAAGGATATCGCCTGAGCAAAGTGAATGAAGTTCCCTACTAGCCCACAACGTTCCGTCCACGCTGGCTGCAAGTGGGAGAGGGTAGATATATATCGCTATGTGCTGCTACGTAAGTCATACATTGGCGTTAGGAGGACAGCTAGCGTTTGTCAGATCTCAGGATGAGGCTTTTATCTCAACAAAATACTTCCCACAAATGATGCGAGACGGAGCGTGTGCAGCCGCTATTTCAGTAGTTTCAGGGAGTAATTCCTTAATTATGAGACCCCAAATATACAAATGTAGAATCTCGCTCGAAACCTTTTCAATCACCTAAATGTCAAGCCGCAGGTCAGCATTTGACGCTAACCCAACTGTGGGACAAAGGCTGTGGGACAAACCTACAAGGGACCTGGAGAACCAATGCAGGGGCCACATCGCAAATGTGGAAATTCAACAAAGGCCCAACGTTGACCCAAGAAAGGGGCACTGCCAGGCTGCTTTCATACTTCTTGTTTCATATTCGGCTGCTTGCCACCATGATATTTGGACTTTTTTATTTCATACAACACAACTAAAAAATTGTATTGTTCCTCTTTTGAATGATGGATTTTGTTTTGCACTGCAATTCATTCTAAATTTCTAAATTTCACTTTGGTTTTGTAAGAAGTCCTGTGCTAATCCTGTAGCACCATGAAACCTCTGCAGTCAATAGCTATTTAAATCAAATCTAATCAAATAAGTGAAACTGTGTCAGTTCCAAAACACGACAGGTACTGCTTCCTCTCGATTTATTATATCAAATGCAACTATGGGAATCCGTGAATTGGATGTGGAGCCAGATTCAGTGAGTGTGCCTCGTGTCTATTGACTTACTCCGTTTCCCAGGAGATCCAGTAAGTTCTTGTTGTACAGTTCGAGCATGTAGACATCCACTTTCACTTCAAAGTTGTGTATGTTGTCATCTGCGATCTGGAAGATACGGTGAAACGCCCTAGGAGCGATTCCTGGCTTTGCGTCACTACCGAGCATCGTGAACGTCTTTCCACTGCCCGTCTGGCCGTAGGCGAAGATGCTTACGTTGTACCCATCCATCACCGTCTGTACCAGGCTCTATAATCCCATAAATGAAATAAGATTCCAGACATTGTAAAAGATAAGTAAGAGAGCTGGAAATAACAATAAATTTTTACCAATAGAGCTTGGCCCAACAATTACTTTTGCATTGTAACTTCGGCAGATCACCGACATTGGCATGTTCGTCATATGAGCGTGCAGACCATAGGACAGCATCGAGGCACAAAATGAATTTCTCCCCAAGATTTTTACTCAAGAAATTCAAGCCAATACGAGCTGCATTACTGGTTGTAACAATTTCTTGGAAGCAGACGTTGGGTATATTTATGCGTCTACGGCACATTTATTCCAGGAATTGTTTTTCAATGGTATTAATATATTTATTTCACGCTCTTTCTAATTTTCTGAGATGATTTAGATCTGAAAGAGGCCTTTCTCATTGAATGATACCTTGGTGTGGTCAGGTCAATAGTTATAGGATTTAAGGCAATAGGATTTAGAAGCAAAGGAAATAATAATAAGGAAATGACTCTGGGGGCCGACGTGATTATGTTCTTTCCTTTCAGAAAACTTGACCAAAAAGGGATATAATGTAGATGTAATCATATTTGAAGTACAAGGGAAAATGGGGTAAGGCAAAGGTGAAGTCTTGTTGGAGAAGAGGTTCACGGAGACCAAACACTAAAACAACGGTAAATCAGTGGTACCTCCACAATTTCGACATTAGAACTGAGTAATACAAGTAACCTTCTTCACGATTTTCACCTTAAATTAAAGGTGAACTAATTGTGTAAAAGCAGACCAAACCCGCTTCGCTAGATTTGGCATGCAGGTCGGGCCATTTATCTTGCTAGGAAATCGAAACGGGATTGAGTGCAGCGGACTCGATTCGAGCTGATTGTTTGAGTTTGAAAAAATCGCCCATGCGTGCCCCCATTGAGCAGAGAGACGGGTAGAATGACGCACAAATCGGATCTGCTTCATGCAGATGACAAGAAAATTCAGGCATTCTAAGATGTTCCTTTTACCTCCTTGAAAAACTGGGGAAGGGGGAGAGATGATGAGACTCTCACGTGAACGTCTTCGAAAACGTTGTCCTGATCATCGTTGGGGTTGTAAACTCGGTCGAAGTAGAACTTCTTCTCGCCCTTTGAAGTTTTCACGGACAAAGAGAACTCGGTATAGGACGTCATCACGGAAGTGTTTTCCCTCCTCATTTCTGAGTCCGTCAAGGGTCGCACTCGACAACTAACTCGAATCTTTCCCCTAAGGTTCATCATGATGTTGAAGTACTTCTTCCGCTGTTCCCGTTCGCGTTCGTTGTCCTTCAGAAGAATTCCATTCATCTCTTGAAGTTTTCGGTTATATTTTTTCAGGGAAGAGATCACCTTTTCTGTTTCCTCCAGGTTCTTCAGTCGGTGCGTGAGGATTTGTTGTCCCTCAAGCAGTTGGCTCCTCTCCTCTCTCAACCACTTGTTCTCATTGCTTAACAACTGACACTCTTCATTCGCTTGGCGAATGAACCCCCAAGCTAATTCCAGATCCTGTTTTAGGTTTTTCAGAACGAGATGCTCGCGTTCCAGTTCTCTCTGATGCATGTATTCCCACTTCCGCTGCTTCTGTTCCCGATCCTCCAACTCCTGAAGGCGGGATCGAAGTTCCTCCTCGGTGAATCGGAGTTTCTTCACCTCAAGTCGAAGACTCAGTATTTCTGGGTCCTCTTGCGGAAACTTGCGATACGTAGAGTATGTCTTTGGGTTGTCCTTCGGTTGATCGGCTTCAACGTCGCTGCCGAAGAATTTCGGAGAACAGGGGTCCGTGTCCTGGAGGTAGTTATTTCAATTGTCAATATGCAAGTCTCATTCTTGATTCCAAATAACGTTGATGCTCACCAATGCAATAAGGGCGCTTCCGCCGCAACCTTCAGTGGAGACATCCGCCTGGCGAAGGACCTTGGGACTGGGTTCAGAGATTGTTATTCCCCTCTCCCTGGGTGATACATGGAGTCAAAGTCTCTCAATGAATCGGCAAGCACAAATCTGGGATGCGCGAAAAACTGCATGCACTATGTCTAACCTGAATGCAAGGCACAGTTCGATGTGTCGCACGTGACATCCAGGGTATTAATTTACATATACAACATGTATTTAACTTCATTATGAAGACGAAACAACACATACAGGGTGCAGAAGAAGTTCTGTTATAAATTTTGGACTCACATAGAAAGACTCACGGGTAGAACATTTTACAAGCCTATGCGCATGTGACTTATATGGATATGTAGCTTATAATTGCATGTGTCTTACCAGTTCGTGTCATTTTTTTTGTGTCAAAATGAATGCCCAACGTGCAGGTATCATTGAGCTTCATCTCAGCGGAAAAACACCCCCAGAGATATTCAAAGTCCTCTCTGACCGAGACAGGAATCGCATGTTCATTTACCGCACCATTAAACGATACCAGCAGACCCACTCTATCGAGGATCGTGCGAGAAGTGGACGCCCAAAGTCTGCTACGGCTCCAGAGATGGTGAAAAAAGGTGGCTCTCCGAATTCAATAGATCCCCAGGTGCTCCATGAGGAAGATAGCCAGGCACATATTAGAGGGATCCATGAGAACTATTGTCAAAAAACACATTCACCCGAAATCTCTCAAACGCAAGCATGCGCAGCTGCTGCCACCTCTCACAAAGCAGTTGCGGCTTCAACGAAGTAAGGCCTCTGCAGCGGTTCACGGCTGATGACGAGGACAAAATCCTATTTTCCAATGAAAACTTTTTCACCATCCAGACTACCTCTAATCGACAAAATGATAGGATCCTCGCGCCACGGATCTCAGATGTCTCGGATGATATGGTAATCGTGCCTCACTCAACCCCCCCATTCAGTTATGGTTTGGGCAGGGTGTCTGCCAACAGTCGCACCGATCTGGTTTTCTTTCCTGAAGGGGTCAAGATGAACAGTGCGATGTACAGAGATATCATTCTATATCCAGTAGTGAAACATGCGGGTCAGATCATGTTCGGCAAACAGGCTTGGACATTTCAGCAAGACGGTGCGCCAGCACACAGTTCCAACATTTCCCAAGCATGGCTTCATCGCGAAATTCCGAACTTCATCACAACGGACTAATGGCCTCCTAACTCCCCCGACCTGAACCCTCTGGACTTTCCTATTTGGTCCATTTTGGAAACAAGGGTTGGGGCTAGTGCCCACCGCAGCATCTTAAGAAATCTTCGGTCCGAGAATGGAAGAATATTCCTGCAGCATCAGCTGCCTGCTGCAGTACACGCTTTCCGCCCTCGATTTAAGGCTGGCATTTCCAAACGTGGCTGACATTTCGAGTAGCCATGGTTCCTAATATTGATTGGCACTTTGTACTAATGTATTATAACTTGGGAGTTGCCATTCTTGTTGCTTTGTTTGTTTTTTGAAAAAAAAACGTTTGTAACAGAACTTCTTACGCACCCTGTAAAGGCTGCAATTATTAGCCTCAGGCAGAGAATGAAAAATCAACAACCTGAAGTCTTGCATACTCTCTTTAGTTTCATGTTTATGCCTTGTATGTGAGCTGAGAAATGTGTCCGATGTGAAGTTTTATAAAATCTCAGGATGAAGTAACTTTCTCTACTGATCACATTTTTGTCACATAGGGAAACCCTATCAATTTAGCATCTTGCTCATTCAGTACATTAATTAAAGCCTGAAATTAGTGAATGCCCCCATAAATACTGAATTTAAAAAAGCAAGGCGATTTGCGACCTTGTCGAATGTGACATGTTCTGAGAGTTCATAGGAGAATGCACAAATGTTTTAATGTTAGAAAAAATGCCTAATATGAACAGTTAACACCACCTCACACCTGAATTGATTTGAAAAAAAATTGCATGGGAAAATCCATGTTGGTACGAGGGTCACTCAATAAGTTATCTACCTGAATAAGAAAGAAACATCCGAGGGGAAACATAACAATTTATTTTTCAATGTAGTCACCTTTTAACTCAACACACTTATTCCACTTTGATTCCAAGGATTTTATTCCCTGGGAATAGAAATCAACTTCTTGTCCATCAAACCAATCAGAAACGGCAACTTTCAGCTATTCATTGCATGAAAATCTTTTTCCCCGCAAAAATTTATTCAAGTGTCTGAACAGAAAATAGTCACTATGAGCCAGATCCAGGCTGTAGGGAGGATGGTTGAGCTCCTGAAAGCCACACTCCCTCACTGCTGCCTGAACTTTCCATGATTTGTGGACGGGCGCGTTGTCATGAAGAAGAAGGACCCCTCTTGACAACTTTCCTCTGCGTTTTCCTCGATGGCATCATGTAAATTTTTCATGGTGGTACCATAGGAATCGCCAGTGATTGTACACTCGTCTGGCATGAACTCAAGCAGCAGTAGTCCCTCGCCGTCCCGAAACACAGTGGCCATAATCTTTCTTGCAGATTTCCGAACACGAAATTTGCGAGGCGTTGGCGATCCCTTGTTCTTCCACTGCATGGACTCCTGCTTGGTTTTAGGATCCCAGTGATAAACCCACGTTTCATCACCAGTTACTATTCTGGCAAAAAAAAGTTTCCCCGATTTGTTTAGAAAACTCCAAGTTTTCCTTGCAGATGTCAGATCTGTTCTTCTTCTGAGCTGGAGTCAGCATTCTTGGAACCCATCGAGAACTGACTTTGGACATGTGTAATTTTTCAAGAATGATGTGAATCACTGTGCCCTCTGAAATCCCCAGTTCATGAGCTAAAACAGAGACTTTGGTGCGACGATNGAGAAAGCGGGAAGATCAGCAGCGCGAAGGTCTGTCACTTTTGGGATGTTCCAGAATCAAGGTCAATGAAGAGCTAAGAATCAATAGACGTGGTAGAGCCTGTTGCTCATCCCTTTCATATTCAGGTAGATACCTTATTGAGTGGCCCTCGTATCTGATCCAAAAGTCCAAACAGACTGAAAGCTTGCATTGCTATAATATCCATGAATCTCATGAGAATGGTTCAAATGATATAAAATAAAAACGTAGAGTACTTCCGTTATTGAAAATACTAATTTTTCCGTCCGCACATGCCTTCAAAGGAAAGAGATTGAAGAGATTTGAATAGAATGTGAAAATATAAATACAGATTTAGAGAAAATTATTGGAATGAATCTTCGTCCCACTTGACGCAGACAGACCCAGGGGTTTCTGTTGAGGCAGACCTGGCAAGTCAAGCAGGAGTCGTTCCTGCTTGACTTGACTTTGCAGCCAAACACGTCGTGAGTTTGACTGCTCACATATGAATGTGAAATAATATATTATAAAATGTAATTTATCTCTGTGTGGTACAGGGAGACAAGAGTGCTGTGCCAGGGTCCGATAGTGCCGGTAATAAAACCGGGTCCATCCTGTCGTATTCGGTGACATCAGAGCATGGAGGTGCTTCCAAACACCCAGTCTGTCTTAAGACATTGCAAAATTCCGTCATCCTAGGAAATGATGTTGGCAATGTCTTTTCTCGTTTAAAGAAATTTTGCAGTACTTTTAAATGTATCAGGTTGTGGCACCAAAGTAAGATCAGTCAATTCCCTCGTGATAAAAGGAGAAAGAATAAATGGAACTTCATCAGGCCCTTCTTAGGCATAGCTCTTGTCTCTCCCTGCAGATCTCCGTAAGTGCTGGAATTTCCCTACACCCTGCCATGGCCCCAGATCAGATGCTCATATTCTGCAGTAATTCGCATGTCTTCATGACAAGTCTCACCCAACTTCTAAATAGATGCATTCCGCATTCCATACTCCCACAATAGTATAATATTGCTAGATAGTTCCACTTCACAAGAATGACAGCATGCAAAAATCTTTCCAACTACAAAATTATCTCAAGCTTACCAGTCACTTCTGAAATACCTGAACGTCACATTTCCAGCTCCACCTATTACTTCCTCTCTGGTTTTGCCATGCCTGGTGCAGGCATGGCCAAACTCCATCCATGGCCACCCATTATCGCATCAGACCCAAACTTGACTGCCAAACATCACTCATATAAAAATTCCGTGATGATGTGTAACAAACATGGACAATGGAAACCAAATTGGTGAAGTATTCCCTGACCTCTCAAAAGCATTTGACTCAGTCCTCCACGAATGGTTCCTAGTTAAATTACCTCATTATAACGTACCTCCCTCAGTAGTGGCATTTTTTCACAATTTCTGTGTTCGTTGGAAATTCTACAAATTGGGAAACAGATACTCAGTAATCAAACATAATCTCCTCATTAGTGTGCCCTTTGATTCTTTCCTTGGTTCCCCTCATATTTATTCTATGCACTAAAAACCTTCCTCAAGCAATCACAAACTGCAAAATTGACCTCTATGCAGATGATGTAACTGACTTTTTTTTTATCTGCGAACCCTGATTAAATCTCCCCTAACATTCAACCAAGCCCTGATAGACTTGCTATATGGGCCTCATGCAACATACTTACGATTAATTCTGAAAAAAAAAGAGCTTATTGATTGGATGCTGGCACCCTCTCTCTTAATCCCAAAACTAACTCTCTTCAACTAACCATATACAAAGCAACAACTGAACAAGTAAACATATACACATTACTAGGGACAACTTTAGACCGCAACCCGCCCAAGCAGTATGTTGTTTCTACGTAAACTGAATGTACATTTTTTCCCGTTTTATGTATATTTTACGCAAACCATCAACAAGATAATGGCTGATATGCAAGAACATATAAAACCGATAAAATATCTATTTTTGGGGGTATCATATGATACGTTTCATAGTTTGATAGGTTGGCTGTATGCAGAAACATTTTATACCTATCATGATAGGGTATCATGAAAGGTATAAAAATCGCTTCCATTTATTCTGATCCAGAGCATGTTTATTCTGCATATAAAGAGCTACCAGGATGGATTGCAGTGCATTTTATCAACTCAATTAATTATGTGAACCGTCACAACTTGTGCTGAGCGCAGTTACTCTGAGAGGCATTAAATCCCGTAGAATTATTTGTATGAAGCCGCGGAAATCGGAATTCAAGCACTTCTCTGGTAAACGGGGTCAGATTAATACCGTTAAATCATCATAAAACACTCTGGTCAGTCATGTGAGCAGAAACACATGGCATTGTTCCTGGGCGGGAGACGATGGATACGAGGTTGTCATCGGGAAGATTCACCAATATTTATCATGATAGATATAAAATACCTATCATAATAGGTATGAAGATACCTACCATAATAGGTATGAAGATACCTATCATAATAGGCCTCACGATGGATACCTATAATATGTTCTTGCATATGGAACTGAGCAAATAATAGACCTATCGCCTGATATCTATCATGATAGCTACCATGCAATAGGCAATCAAGTGATAGGTTCTTGCACGTGGCCAATGTCAACATGTTTGTAGAAATGGCACCTCTGTAATACGTAAATGGTGATATAAAATTAAAGGAAATTTTACGTAAAATTGACATTCCTGTTTACATCGCAAAAAGCATGTTTACATTCATTTTAAGTAAAATTTATGTTAATTTCTCCGGACATTTATGCGTTTGTATTGAGTAAATTCGTACTTTTGAAGGGAATCGATACACTATATTTCTCCTATTCAATATTTTGGAACTGAAGGTTACTTGGACAGGTACGAGCACACAATTACTCTTCCTCACCAGCACTCAAGAGTGCCCTTCCTCCTCCCGTATCAGGACCTCTGGAGGAGGGATAAATGTTTGTAGGAGTTCTCTTTCATTAAGGACATGGAAGGTATAGTAATTGTGGAAAAGGGTTTCTACTCTTCCCTAATTCAGGGCACTGCTGTAATAACAAGCGTACCTTCTGCATTTAATGATTCCCTGAGTCATATATTATTTAAAATATGTAATAATTTCCTGCTTTCCATATATATATTCATGAATTGCATAATACAAAGTGGAAGGATGGTAAGAAAACCTGATATTATATAGGGAAAACTTGTACTTATTAGCATATGTAGGGTGCAGGGAACAAGGATTCCATCTGGTGAGGAATCATGGTCAGTGCAATTGCAATTGCAGGATGGTCAGCTAAATTTTCAGATGGAAAGTGTGATGTTAACTTTGCATAAACTTGATATCGTGTACTTCACGTCAAATGAAGTGAAGTCTAATTCGTGTAAAATACATGTAAAATTTGGTGAGGTAAATATAGGAATGTAAATTTTATGTAAACGTGATGTCATTTTTATCGCAATCGCGAGAAATTTAAATTGTTTGCAAAAAAATTGATATCTTGCTTACGTGAACATGCTGCTTGGGCGAGCTTCCCTCACAACATACCACGTATCCTTGTTAGTAGCTTTCCTCTGAAATCGACAGGGATTGGCATATGCAGCTTCCATCCCAAAATTGTCTACTCATCTACAATGTACTAATATACCCTCACATTATCTATGCATTACTTAGTTACTTTAGTGCTAATAAATCAGCCCTGAACTCCATCAACGTTATAAAACTATGTATATCCACTCAAAATCCAGACACCATTTCATTGTCTCCCTTTTTCACTCATAATAAAGGCTCTACAAAGAAGGTCTTTCATTCTACTTCATCTTCCATCTTACTCTAACAGAACTTCTACTAGTTACCTCTCCCCACCAGGAAATACCACTCCCTATCTCCGCTCCCACACATCCATGAAATCATGACTCCCACCAACCCTCACAAAAACATCCCTGAAAAACCTTAAGTAAAAGGGCAACAAGCATTGGAATTCCCATATTCTTTATCACTTTCATGCTCCCCCACTGTATCCAGACTTGAAACTGCCATCAAAGAACACTTACTAGCACAATACATACTATAAATACTTCGCCAACACTGAAATCATATCATTTTTATTATGCTCCACTCATTTTTTTTCGATACACACCTCACAGATTTTCCTCCCTCTGCACCCATTTATATACACCATTTCTCCTGCATGGGGTCGTGTGGTTCTTCTCTTTGTGACTGATATAAGGGCAGGCGCGGGATTGAACTGAGCACCAACACGCCTGGAAACCACGCGCGTCGCAAAACAAGAGAAGTGGGTACCCTTTACAATATGCAATAGGAATACGGACTTTGGAAGCAATTCGTATTGCTTCCAATGTCCTTTCCAGACATTTGAATTCAGCCCAGCGCAGAGAAGATGAAGAGTGAGAGCGATACCTTGATGTCGGTCTACTCTGGGAAGTCCGTTTTCTATTGGCGGTGGAAATGTGGATCTTGGCATGCAAATCGGGGATCTGATTGCGACTCTCATCGGAACGAATATTTCCTCCTCGATGCAATTCAAATTTTATATCCACGTCGGGAGGAGTTTCGAAGAGTTTCCCGTCATCCTCCGGGGGAGTCTCCGTGCAGAACGCCTTCTTTCCATCGCGGGAATGAGTACTTGTGGTACACCTCCCTGCCCCTTCACTCACATGGGCTCTTCGCTGGCCAGAGGCGTCCGGAAACTGCAGCAAAAGGTCTAGAGGGTCGAGCCACAAAGCTTAATGGATGGAATAGGTACGGGGCCTTCCAAAAGTCTAGCCTACTGCAATGTTAGCAAGAAGTGAATAATGAAGGGAAAGTTGATAATCGGATGAATCACGGTGAGGATAAACTCGTCATGAGGAGATATCCCGTAGAATTGAAATAGATGAGGAAAAGGAATCGCCTTTTTCGCCTCAATCGCCTCGTTAGCCTCACTTGCTTTGTTTTCAATCAATGCGACGTAAGACGTTGAATTAGCTGCTGCGGTTTGAGACGGCTACACCAGCGATTGGCAACCCTAATAAAGCTGCTACTATCATCGTCTTGGTTCTTTCTTGCAGTTTTAAGGAACGAATCACCGTGGTGATTCTATTGTGTCGATATCTATACGAAGTTTATGGGTTTTGAAATTGTCTAACGACCACATTTTCCAGAATTTTCCATCTTTTACATATGGTTTTCAATATTGTCATCATCAGCTCGGAAAACTTCAAATTTTCACGCCTTTCCTAGCCTAACGTCTTCTTATTTTGACAACGTAATAAAAAAGAAAAAGGTAAAGAAATAGAAAAATAATTTACAATTGAGTTAACCTCACCTTGGAAGAACTCCACGATGTCTTCTCTGTCGATTTTCCTGAGAGCATCGAAGAAAATGCCATGGGACCGCTTCGGGTTCTTGATTAGAAGAGTGTCGAAGAGCTTATCGAACTTTTCTGTCGGGTCTTTGATGTCCCGGATGTACTTCTCCTCGAAATATGTGAAAAGCCCCTTTTCGCACAAAATGCGAGCCAGCTGATTCGGATCCAGGACTATTTCGTCTCTCAGTTTAGTCCGCTTGTTCTTTATGATGGTCCAGAATTTTCTTGGCATATTCATCTTGAGAGTCAAGAAAGTGCCTGGTCCTCGAATGCTTCCTCTAGAGTTTCGGAAACAGAGAACTGTTTTCATTTTCATCATCGTTAAACACATCACATGTGTGAAGAGCCAGAACGGAAGAAAAAGTCAGAAACCGGTGGGAAAAGAACAATAAGAAATCTCCAACCTTGCATTGTCAATCAAATAGGACCATATCAGTTACCAGGAAATGAAGAAAGTGGTACCCTGCATTTCAAAATTTTCGAAAGACGTATAGTTCCATGGTCCTCAATGTGTCGCGCATCCACTTCATGAGAATAAATCCCAGTGATGCAGAAGGCCGTAGGATCACAAGTCCAACCTTGTTATACGGGTTTCCGTTGACGATGACCAAGGAGACTAAAACCAGCATGATTAGTTCGGCTCGGATATTCGACACAGACTCAATTATTGCCCTGGATAATCAGGACTGTTATAGCCTGTGCTCCAAGGGTGACTGTTGATAAGTTGGCTACTGGGACCGGGCCATCCGATGCTTCTTGGTCCGTCGGACCCCGCAGTGCTACATTCAGGCCTAACGGTCGGCTTCCCACCGGCCATAGCATATTTTCGGCACGATGCTCTAAGAGCAGACCAAGAGCGAAATCGATCGAACAACGACCTTGGCTACGAACGAGTATTGGGGCTTGGAGTGTGTCAACACACGGCCGTAAGGAGGTTGGACTCGTGGAGGAGGCTAGGAGGAGGGAAACTAGATACATTCATCCTGGCCTTAACCAAGAGGAAAGTCACCGTTTCCATCATCCTAGACCACAGACGGACCACAGACTCTGCTAGTGTGGAGTCGACTAGACCGAGTTTGCTCGGCCGGGAGTGGGATACTTATAAATCCGTATCTGGCTGACAGCATGATTGAAAGAAACACAGGAAAGAAGCGTGTCGCTCTGACCAGCCTTAGAATGGATGGAGTCAGAGTCTTGACCATCATTCAGGTCTATGGGCCAAACAGCGAGTCAGGCTACATTGTGTTCTTGGAGGAGGTGGATGGAACCTTAGGAAGGTTTACGTAATCAAGTAATGTTTTTGTTTGAAATTATTATTGAAGTAAAAGGTATCACAGTTCATGCCTCTCCTTTTCTAATTTGCATTACTATTTGTTATCACAGTCATGAGCTATAACCAATCGAAAGGTGGGCAGGGCAATTAAGGTACATATATTGGGTTGGAAAGAAAGTCTTGCAACACTGCGCAAATTTTTCAAAATATTATAACTTTATTGAAATGCAATTCCAGTCTACAATGTAGTGACCATTGTTGTCTATGACATGTTCCCACCGCACGGGTAACTGCTCGATGCCCTTTGCCCAGAACTCTTGCGATTGCGAAGCGAAGAAACGGCCGACATCAACCGAGCCGATGAGGGACCCAAGCCGAGTGAACCTTCCGATAGCCGAGGACGTTCAGATGGTTGCCGATGGCCATATGGGTGACTCCAAGTGTAGTCGCCGATTCGCGAGTGGTGCCGTTCGGCTTCGCGTGGAGGGGGTTCCGCAGGGCTTCGTCATCGACTGTAGATGGACGTGGTCGATCTCCGAAGGTCGTGTCGCCAGATTCCCAAGCGTTTCAACCATCGAGACACCGTGGAATGGTGGACGACGTTGCCCTTGAATGCGGCGCAGATGTTGCCCGCGGCGGCTCTCGCAGAGTGTCCTTGGAGTAACGTAGTAGACGATGGGGCGAAGAGTTGTTCGTTCGATCGGAGCCATGGCTGCCAACTAATTGCAGAAGTTGCCTTATGTACCCCGAGGGCAGAAGCTTCGAGAACATTCCAGCATATACAAACGCAAAGCCCCGCCCATCATTCCTTTGAAAATTTTNCATGGCTGCCAACTAATTGCAGAAGTTGCCTTATGTACCCCGAGGGCAGAAGCTTCGAGAACATTCCAGCATATACAAATGCAAAGCCCCGCCCATCATTCCTTTGAAAATTTTGATAAAAAGTTTTAGAAAGTGTCGCAAGAATTTCTCTCCAACCCAATATATAGACGATCGTGATTGACTGACTCACTGACGCCAATTCTAACCATGTTCTAGAAGGATTAGAAATATGAAAATTGGTGCACATGTACCTTTTGGGATGCAGAGGTCAGAAAAAATCCGACTTTAGAGATACATGCCCTGGGGGTACACATTTTGGGGGAAAACGTTTTCCTTAAATATATTTTGTGACAGATGAGGAGGACATTCAGAGAGCCAACTGGTTGAGCTGTGTTCGGTGGTGTAGTAGTAGAATATCTGAATGGCAATGAAAAAGTTAGGGTTTAATTCCCGGCCATTCCTAGGCTTTCGTTTGGCTTTTTTTGCCTTCCATGTCCCGATACTCATTCCCTCTCCATAACATTATTTTTTCTTGCGTAAAACGGAAACATGTGGAAAGCTGAAACTTGGCATGGACGTGCCTACGAAGACGATGAGTTCAGGAAAAAAGGAAAATTTTAGTTCATGCCCTGGGGCATATTTTTGTGAGCCGACTTTTTCAAGTATTTTTTTTTGTCCTGGCGTATTGAGCTAGAGTGGAAAGATGGAACTTAGTACATAACTACCTATTGGGATGCTGCAGAAAACTTCGGACTTTGGAAGTAAATGCCGTGGGGGCACAAACTTCAAAGGGAGATGTTTTCAACTAATTTTTTGCATTAGTTAAACTGATGAAATATAACAATAACTGGTTATCGCAAAATTGACAGGTATAATGATAGACAAAACATTACACTTCGAAAATCGGACATTTATTTCGGAACAACCTAATATATAAAAATGTTAAGTCTCGATACAACCCCTGGGGGTACTTTTTGGAGGGGAGATGTTTTGAAAAAAAAAATTTGTCATGGCGAATTAGACAGAAATGGAAAGGTGAAACTTGGCACACGTATAAATGACATGATATTACTGAGCTGAGGGAGTATTCAGCTTTCAAGGTGCATCCCCTCCGGGGATATCGTTAGGGTGGGTCGGCTTTTCCAAACGTATTTTTTCACCAGCGAAAAGGGCAAACGTATAATATTGAAACTTTGTGGGTATGTAGTTCACTGAGGATGGATTTCGGTAAGAAAAAAATGGTGCTTTTCGGTTAAAACGGCTCAGGGCACATATTTTGGAAAAGGCGCATTTTCACGTATTTTCTGATCCAGAAGGCGAATGAAAGTAAAAAAAAAAAACTTGGCAAATAAGTACCTGATGGAAAGCTGCGTTAAGGAAAAATTATACATTTCTAATATATATAGACGATCGTGACTGCCCGACGCTAATTCAAAAATGGAAAACGTATAAGACTGAAACTGGGTGGCATGGAGTTCCCTGAGTCCCCATTTCAGAAGAAAAAAAATTTCCCTAAAAATCATCAGGGCTGATATTGGGGTAATGGAGCGCCGAAGGCGCGACCATTGCGAGTTTGTTTGCCCGAAGGGCAAACAAACTCGCTAGTATTAGATACACGGAAATATCACTGCTTCACGTATGGAAATGAAAAGAAATACACTAAAGAGAATAGTAAGACCCAATAGGCGCAATTTTTTATGATAGGTAACAAATCTTAGGTTTCACATCAAAGAAACTTTTATTCGTTGGGACGCGAAGACTTCCGGAATGTAGACATGGGTTTCTCCTTTTTTCCGAGCTTAATACTTCAAGTATTTTCATGATCTGCTTTAATTTCACCATCAACTGGCGTCATTTCTCCGTGACATTTGTAGTTCGTAAAATATGTTTACAGTTTTGCGGATCATACAATGAGGACTTATCCTCTTGTCCTCAACTTCTACTAAATTGTCAGGAATCTATACAATCTAGGCTCAGCTGTTCGGTGGATGTGTATACGGCGGGTGTTTCAACAGTGATCAACCAGGATCAAACCAGCTTAGATTTATTCCTGTAAAATTCATTAAACCGCCCATTGAGATTATTTCTCGTGAGATATACGGACGAGGTGCTGCTTGAAAGCACACAAGCTCTTCCCCCCCCGTTCCCATTCTTCCTCTCTCGCCTTCGTTGAATGGGAAAAGGCACATTTCTGCTCCTCAACAGATCACGGTTTCTGCCCGAAACCAAGCAGATTCTTTCAGTGCTGGTCCATATCTCACGCCAGATTTGGGGCGAAAAAGGTTTGATCCCGGTCAGAAACCTTGAGATTCTTCTGACGTAAAATCTTAGTAACTCGGGAGTTATGCACATTCATTATGGTTATCTTAAGATTTTTGAAGAGCTCCTTATCTCTTCCTGGATTGAAGAGCGTCATTTTCTATCAATAGTAATGGGAGGCAAGTGGCCACTTGTTCACAGCGATATTGAGCAATGTACGTATTCATTCCTGGTAGTTGAAAAAGGATTCATTTGAAATAACGCAATATCTTCTCATGCTTCGGAGGTACACTTGATACACTGTAATGTATTTTTTTTGCAGGGGAATATATGTCAGATTTTGCACTTTCATGATGCAATATAATATAAGCTGCATGTAAAAATGTATTGGTCAACTTCGTCCTTCAGATGTGAGTTGTTTCGGCAATAAGCCCTTCAAGTTATCTAAATTTATTCATAGCAGTTGCAAATATGATAAAGAAGTTGACTAGGAACGAAGTGGGGAAGATGGCGTTCATGTACGCCGCGTAAGGCAATTGCCAATGCAGAATTATTGAGGATTCTCAAAGTTAAAATTGAAACCGCTCGGCACCATACTTATCAAGAATTAGCATGTAAATAAAACCCTTAAGGATATTAGGACAAATGTTGAAGTTCGGTTCAATGTGTTTTTAAATAGGCAAAGAAAATGAAAACCGAAGCCGCGCGAGGTACATGTGCTTTTGAGGTCGAGGTCCGAGAAGTGTGAAGGCTGCTCGGGCCTTTTCCACTGTGATTTGAATTTGAAGTCTAAGTCTCAGAAAGAAATTTTTTTCTGCGCAACCATTCAAAAACAAAATTAGCCAATATCTTGATCATAGCTTCCAACATGCCAATCTTCGCTATGGTCAGAACTCCTCTTTATTGCTCGTCGGACAATATTGGAGTATGACGGATTGACAGGATGAGACAGGAAGAAGTCTCTTTCTATTCAGGGAGAAGGGGACAATAAAATACCTAACAGTGCGCATGAGGCGCTACCTATATTTCCAACACTTGCTCTTCTTCGTGACCAGTT